CTTGTTCACTTTCCCCTTAGATTGGTTATTGAGTTGCAGTTACTGGTTGTTTTTTCTTTAAAACTTGGGCCTAAGCAAGAAACTTCTCGAGACTTCTGAGAAGGTCACTTTTAATAGTAAGGATAAAGAGAAAGAGAATCATTAGAGAAAATGCAAAGAACAGAAAATATTTTCAGCCAGCCTTTGGTAGCAGGGCTGTTATCCCTCCCCCTCGCCTGGTCTCTAGTCTGTTTCTACTGAGTAGGGCCCGTCTTATTCTCCATCACTTGGGATCTTTCCCCTCACTGCAACTTTCCGATTCAAGATTCCTAGTTGATGTATGGTCTAGTTTGTGGTCTGAGGTACTCTGACCTTTCACAGGAAACGAGCAAGGCTGTGGACATAGATGCCAGGTAGATTTCACTTTTTAGGATTATGATATCTACTACCCCAGCAAGGAGCCTCGTTCACGACCACCTATCCTTGACATCAACCTCAGTAGCACCTATGTCAAATTGCACACATCAGGTAAAGACAGGATCATTCTTTTACACTGATATCAACTGACAAAAGAATTTATTGTAAAGTAGGAAGTTCTATTTTGGCTAAAAAGAAAAAAAATTATATTATTTTTCATTCTTTTGGAGTGGTTGGCAGGGATAATTTCTGCCTTTGGATGTGGCTTCCAGAAGGTGACACTTCTAGAAGATAAAAGGGTCCTGTGAGTCTTCTTTAGAGGAAGAGCACATATTCAGGAGACTACCATAACTGACCCTTCAACTCTCCCAGCTGAGATCCCATGGCACCTAGCATCTAGTCCACACATGGTGAAGGGTGACCAGACTGTTTCATACCCTTATCCAGAGCTGTCCCTTTTCTGAGAAACATGACAAACATGTAGGTAACTGTCTAAATTCATTATCTCAATCCAGAATCTTTTCTGTATTTTAGATTTTCTTATTTCAAAATTGAAAAGTGACAAGTCTGTCCTTGGTTATAGGGCACTATATATAACAGTCCTGTGCTCACATTTGAAAGGAAAGTCTACTCTCTGTGACTGCACATCTCCCACAACTATAGTATAACAGTCTGTCGCAAGTATATTGGATGTTTCAGTTTGCCAGACCTGTCATGATAAATTAATTACAGGATGTTGCAGAAATGGCAAAGCTCCAGCAGCATCTTGCATAGTTTAATATAGCCCATTTCCCCATTTCAATGTATTTGTGGTTAGATAAATCCTCAGAAATTTACAGCTGCTATAGATGAGTTTATTATGTACTCTGCCTGTACACATGATAAGTATAATAAGAATTTGATATTCTTAAAGTGCATAGATTTTACTGACATTTCTTTACCACTATGGAAATATTTAGTTGCTAAAAGTAGCATCTGCAGATACTTTTGCACACCAACTTCTGTCTAACAGGCAGGGATGGTTAAAGACATTACTGTGCTTAGCCATCTTTCATTTAAGCTGAAGCACTGCAGTTCAGAGAAAATTATGTAGTGCATTTACTAGAAAAAAATTAACTACTGATTCTCAGTTTAAAACTGAAAAAGCGAATTGAAGCTACGAAGCTTTTCTCCAGGGAACCTCTTTCTTGGTCTCATGACTGCTTTTCGGAAGTTTCAGTTGCTCATTTTTGCTTTTCGACTTTCTCACCTTCTTGCTTTTTCTTCATTTTGGTCTCTATTTTTTTCTTATCTTCATTAAGCAAATCATCTCCAAGCAACTAAAAACAACCCTTTTAATAAACAGCATGTAACTTACATATAACATATAACTTGCATATAACATATAACTTGCATAACTTATTTACTTACATAACTGCTATGCAAACCAAGATTCCTACCTTTTCCATTATCCTATTTCCACAATTCTTGACAAGGATCAAGCGTCGATTTAAGAAGAAATGAACTAGAATATGTGAAAAACAGATTGTTCAGGACTTTGAGAAATGACACTGTATGGTTGGAACATTCTGACACACATGATAGAGAGGCGGACTATTTTAAATAGTTCATAGACACTGAATAGTTCATAGACACTAATAGTTCAATAGTTCATAGACATTGACTATTCTGAATAGTTCATAGACCCCCTAGAAATTGATTGTGGATTCTTAGGCAGCATCAGTCCCAAATTTTTGAGACAATAAAAATAATCCAGCCATGATCAGAATTTTAGGTGTTAGATGTTAGATGAACAACTTTAGAAAATAAGTTGCTTACAACATATGCTTGATATAGATTCCAAGGGGTTCATTAGACCAAAAAAGCATTGTGTTTACAAAACAAATGTTTTTGTGTTATTTAATTCCTGCCTTAACTTAAAGTATTTCCTATTCACTTTAATAATTAGAGCAGAAGGATATGATGAATGAAGTGCCTCATTACTAAGCTTGCTTCCTGGCTCTCTGCAGAGAGTAGATGTCTGCTTTAGCCTTGTTGGTCCATTGTTAACCCTAAATGAGGCTGACATCCAATTCTCCTACAGATGATTGGGTCCAACCAGAGACTGAGTTTGCCAGTCAACACAGCCTTTTGATTGATGTGATTCATAATGTTTTCATTGTCTCTTCCATTGGCTGGAATGACACCTTTTCTGTCACTCGAATAATGTTACTGTACATGTGTTAGCTTGATTTCACAGAATCTATTTCTGTGTGGTTATGTAGTATGGAGTAAAGATTTACCCAAATAATTATAGATTAACAAATTATTAGTTTTTTTAAAAAAAGTCCACTCAAATAGACCATTTGATTTTATTTAGGTCACTGTTACATTAAAGATAAATTAGATGTTTCTAGTCCCTGTCATGACTAGTCCCTGTCATTCTAGTCCCTGAATGTTGTTGTAGGTATATGTGAATTGCTGTTTTAGCTACTCTTGTGTGTGCTGGAGTTTCCTACTGTATTCGTTACTGGCTGACTCTACACGGAGACTCAACACTTTGGAGACATCTCTATGTAGTCTGAACCTAGGTCTAGCTGGCACCGACATTTACTGGCCATGTGCACTTGGACAAGTTATTCAAGCTTCAAAGTCTTGGTTTCCTTATTTGCAGGGTAAGGAAGATTTTATCTACCTCAGGGGTTTGATGTGAAGAGTAAATGAGGTCATGTATACAAAGTGAAGATTTGGGAAATATTTTCTGTAAATAAGTTTAATGAAGTAAAAAGCAGCAAATATATGGTTTAAAAAAATTGAATTGTTGAAAATGCCCCTCTAATTTACTTAACAGATATGGGCCTTAAACAGAAATCAATGAAATTATGTATAAAAGTACACAGTCACAATTTTTTTTTTTATTAAAGTTTCTAGAACTTCCTATCTTAAAAATATTTGTGAGTTAATCAACAATCAAAAATGATCAACTCAGGGCCTCCCCGGTGGCGCAGCGGTTGAGCACTGGGTTACGAAGCTGCGCACAGCCTCTGCGGCGCCGGTTCGATCCCCAGATGCTCCCCGTCCAGGGAGGAGGGTCCCACATGGCACGCAGACCTCTCCTGCTGCCCGCTGCTCCCCTCAGCAGTGTACTTCGGTCCATCCGTCTGCCTGCTCTGCTCCCCGCTTTGGCTCTGGTGAATTCTCTCACCCTCCTGCGCTACTGACTGTACCCAGTGCTTATATAAATAAACAAATAAATCTTAAAAAAAAAAAAAAAGATCAACTCATGCCATTTGCAGGAACATGGATGGAGCTGGAAGGGATTATGTTCAGTGAATTGACCCAGAAGAAAAAAGAAAAATATTGGGTGGTTTCACTTCAAGGAAGAATATAGGGGAACATAATAAGGGATCAGGGGAAAAATAGTTATAATAAAAAAAAATTAACAGGCAACTATAAATCAGAGACATTCTGCTGGAGGGGGAGGAGAGGGTTCAAAACAGGAGAGGGAAGAGCACAAGGGACTATTGTGATGGTGCACGGTGAATTGGTGTGGGAATTTTACAGGGACTACCCCTTAGAGGAGAAAGCTAAAAAAAGGAAGAGTGACATAAAATTTATATAAAATAAAAGAAAAAAAGAAAAGTTGTGAGTTAAATATACAACTAAAGTGACATGTTATATATAGATATAAAATGCAAAGTTATTCCCCAGAGATAGCCTTGCTGAATTCCTAAACAGGAAATATTTTTAATAAAAGTGAAAAATGAATTTAAGGTCAAATATTCACTTTTGTGGAAAGACACCTATGTAAGATTTCGAAAGTACCAAGTCTTTATCATTCAGAAACACTGATTTCACTTAACAGGTTCATTTTTAAACATGAATTTATATTCATGAGTAGAATATTTCATGTTTCAAATCTTTCAAAAACTTGGTTTTTATCCTAGCATTGCAAATTCTATTTTATTGTATTGTTTTGATCCTGCAGGAACTTTAATCTTCAAGATGGAGTAGAATAAAAAAACAGAACATAAATTTCAATGAGAGGCTTAAAAAAGATATTGTTAAATTTTTTTTTTTTTTCTGTGTGTGTGTGTGTGTGGAGAAAATAGCCTTCATAAAATGGAATAAAATTCAGAATGAAGAAAAACAAAACCAATTTCATACTAATACAATGTGTAGTATCATAACCCTTCCAGTTCAGTCTTGTATCTGATTCCCCTGCTTGAGTGTAATTTGAACTTATTAAGTGGAGGGTATTGTTATGGCCTCCCATGGCCCAGCACACCTCCGAGAGTGTGGTAAAGTCATTTTATTGATCTATTAGTGAATGTAACCTGAGTCTTGGTTTGTCAAGGACAGAAGAGAAAAGGACTGAGCTTTGAGGAAAACTACCTTTTCATAGTATTTGCCTTTATTATTTCCTCTTCAGTAGTTGCAATATAAAATAACCTTTTATCATTCATATGAAGATTGAGATCTCAGCAAATGCTTCCCTCCCTGGATGTATTATTTACTTTTCTTGATTTAAAATCTTTCTGCAGCTTGTTGAAATTCTTCATGATTAAAAACAAAATCAGAGAATTAATACACATCTCAAAAGTCAGAGCTGAAACTGCAGAGAGATGTATATTTTTATTTTTTAATCATCAAGGGCATTCACGAGAGAGAAAAAATAAGGGGGACTCAAGCCCAGCTGTACCTGAAGCGCAGATGGCACCTGCATCCAGAACCAGGGGGCAAGCGCTGTTGGCAGAGACCACCCCTGGGCTCCTTGCTAAGGCCTTCAGCTGCTGCTGGTGCCACACACCACTTAAGAGACCCCTCCCTTTGTCAGAGTCCACAGAGCAGGGGCATGTTTACCAATTTTCATGCCTCTACAACATGTGCAGGGATAAGAGCCAAACATATTTTCACTAGAAGATATTTCACATCGGGTAAAATTTACACCTCAATGCTCAGCATGCTTTTTCTCACTTCTTATTTTAATGTAATCAATTGTCTGCTTTGGTAAATAAGCTTTCTAATTTTATATTAGTCTTGACTTTCTTGGAGTTGATATTTTATTGACAGATTTATAATCACATAGAAAACAAAAAGAAAAAAAAATCACACTTTAATAGGCAATGTAATAATATAAAAACAAATATTAAGACTAAAATAAATATTAAACAATATTAGCATACAAATCACTGATATGCTTAAATAGGAAATTCTTTTTTCTAAAAAGTCATGTGGAACACTGTTGTTGTTGGTCTGGCCACATGCCACTTTTAGTTTATGTGTATCAAATTATATCTACGATTCATTTGAAACAAACACAAATTTTAATTCTAAAAGGCAAATTGTTCCCTTTTAAAGTTTTTGTTACTGGGACCATTTTGACTAACCAATGTTCCTTTAAATAAATTTCAAAAGCACATATTTCATATTCTGAGCAAAAAACTTTCACATATAACCACATTACAGTTACAATAATATTAAATTATTACTTAACAGACATTTTAACAATGCAAACACTTTACCTTCACATTTGCTGGTAACAATTATGCTTTTTCTTTATTGGTTTTCTAATAGTGGTAATGTAATTTTGATGTAATTATAAATAAATAAAAGTAAATACTTTGACCAACAAGAGACACAAAGGTTTATAACAATTAACTTCAAAAGGCCACATTTACTTTTCTACCCATACCTTATTTTAGATTTTTCTAGATTCTTTCTTAAGGATGCAGAGTAGAGAGTCCTTCCTTTCCCCTTAGTGTCTCAAAATTCTGAACTTTGAAGAAATTTGATTTGATTTAAATTGTCATTCTGTTTATGTGTGTTTATGTGCTTCTTGAATCTTCATTCTTCAATGCTTTACTAGAAAAAAACATACAAAAGATATATTAAATGAATGTAAACAGTGTCTTTTGGTCGCAACCAAATCTTAGCAAGCTCAGGCATGCACAGGTAATAAAACACACGGTGTAACTAACACATACACATACATATGCCACCAAATAAGGCCAAAATACCAATTAGCTACCATTTTGCCTCTAGAACTTAGTGTTAACATCTTTTAGTATCTCCTTTAGTTGCTTAAAATTTGCTGTTGCATTGACAAGTTAATGAAAACAAAAAAGAAATACACTTCTAAAATACAAACATTAGGTACTATAAATTCTGCACAATTACAGTTCATAAAATTCTTTAGTCACTGGGGGAAAAAAAAAAAAAACCTCCTGGATAATCCTTCAGGGTTAGTGCCAGAAAGGAAATAGACCATTTTATTAAATTGCATTCTTTCATTTAGCCTGTGGCTATGTCTACTTTTATAAAGTGGGTTATTATATTTTTTTCAAATCAGTCCAAAATAATGGTGTGTGTCATTTTGATTGAGAAAGATATGTGATTATTAATATGCATCTAGATGTATCGACAGCACTGGAATAAAACAAATTACACCATTAATAAAAATCAAGAATCAATATGCATATGAAATAGGAAAGGTGCTTTCTTAGAGACTATGTGGTAAAGCACACAACAACTAGAGGGGGATAAACTAGTGGAGCTGAGTCTGAAAATTTTTGATGCAATTATTCATATAATACCAGGGAAGAGAATCAGAATTTATGCAAAAAATGTTGTCTTTCCTCTAAACGGAAAGGACTTCACCCTTGGTTACTCTTAGCAAACAATGTGCAGCTTAAGAATGATGGCACCAGGGGAGGGAGGGAAAAGCAAGAAAGAACAATGGCGCCCTGGCTAAGGTGGTAGTCAGTTTCATTGATGCTCCTGAGAAAAGTAAGGGCTGAAGCATTATGGCAAGAAAGGGTAGGTTAAGCATTTGCTAAGGGTGACATGGAAGGGCAGGGAACAGCTGTGCTTTTAGGGACAGGTCCAATCTTTCTTTTCATAATGAAAACATTTATAACTGCAAGGAAAAGAAATGTTTTGTCAGTCTGTGTTTGCTAATTTTAAATTTGTTAAAGAGAGTCACCACAGATAAACTGGTTCTATATATAGAAGCCCCAAACTATGTTTCAACTGAAGCTCATGGTAACAACTGAAGTAGAATATGAAGTGGCACAGATATGGGGTGTCAAGGCACAAATTTGCCGAGTGTCATTTCTTTGCCTGCATGCACGTGGATAAAATACAGAAAACTTGCCCCAAATAAGAGTCCAATGAAAGTGGAAAATGGTAGAGGCTCAAATGGATGGTGGGCACAAGGCACACCCATCTTCAAAAGGCAGTGAGGAGGAGAGAGATCTTAGAGGAACAACAGGGCAAAGCAGAGTGAGAGCAGGAGTTCATGACAGCGTCAGAAGAAAAGAAGAAGAAAAACAGAAAAGGGAACAGGCAAAAGGAGGAAGAACAGCTGGAAGTGGGTAAGGTGGACCCTGCACGTGCAGAAGAGCCAGGACAAGTTAGAAGCAGAGGACAGGAGGACCTGGGGAGAGGGACCTACAGAGACATTTAACTAGAAAAAGCTAAAGTAGGGAAGAAAGACAACATCTTTAAGGGAAATGAATTAGATTAAGCAGAAGCAGCAGCACTGGATGGACAATGCCAAAGACCGGCGTGAAAGGACCACTATGGAAAGCTGAAGGTTGTTCCTCAGTCTACTAAAACTGGAACTACAATAAGACCTGGCAATTCTACTCCTAGGAATCTACCCAAAGGACACAATGATTCAAAAGAACACCTGTACACCTATGTTTATTGCAGCACTATTTACAATAGGCAAAACCTGGAAACAACCCAAATACCCAAGATAGATGACTGGATCAAGAAGATGTGGCATATACACACAATGGAGTATTATTCAGCAATCAAAAAAGATAAACTCATGCCATCCACAGCAACATGGATGGAACTAGAAGGAATTATGTTCAGTGAAATAAGCCAGAAGGAAAAAGGAAAATATCGGATGGTTTCACTTATAGTAGGAATACAGGAGAACCAAATAAGACATCTGTATAAAAAAATAATAACAGTACAAAACACAACAAAGCAAAAATGGACAACGATAAATCAGAGACCGACTGCAGGGGAGGAGGAGGGAGAGGGATCAGAGGGAGGGAGGGAGGAGCACAGGGGACTGAGGTGATGGTGCACGGGTGCATTGGGGAAGGAAACTCTATGGGGACTACACCTGAGGGGGTGGGGGGAAGCAAATACTGTTTAAAAATGAACAATGATGTAAAAATAAAAAAAATTAATTAAAAAAATAAAGAAGCTAAAATTGCAAAGGAAAAAAAAAAAGAGGGGGAGGTATCATCTACTCAAAGACAAAATGAACCCAAACCCAGTCTTTCTCAGAGCCGTCTCCCCATCAGCTAACAGAGGATGAAAGCAACAAAGTGAGGGCCATTTTTTCAAAGGCAAAGCATCTGAGAAAAGAAAGGAAAATCTGCATAATGAGTTTGAAAATGAATATGAAACTAGGTTAGTGTTTGTGTGTGTATCATGTGTGAAAATAAGGTTTATAAAAACACTTGGCCCTAGCCCACAAGCAATTCAGTGCACTCAGGGTGGCCTGATGGTTTACTGTATAGCAGGTACCAGACTCAGACATTCAGAAAAAAAGTGAGCATGTGAGCATCTTGGCCCAAAAGTACTTACCATCTAATTGGAGTTATAATTTCATAATAGAAAATACTTCATTTATAAAAATTACAAGAGAAAATAGCATGAAAGAATTTTTATCTGATGTCACACTCATCCTTGAGGCAGTTTAATTTGCCTTGGTTTCATAGGTGTTGAGTAGGTAGGAGCACGCCCTGCCCAATACCAGTCTGTCCCAGAGGGGCTTACATACAGCATATTACAGTTGGCCCTTGAAATTCAGGGGTCCACTTACTGGAGATTTTTTTTTCTCACTGTGGGTTTGGCATTCAGGGATTCAACTATCTGCAGGATGCAGAAACTAGATATGGAGGGTCAACCATAAGTCATGATTGGATTATTACTGGGAGGTGGGGGGGGGGCCTCCAGTGATCAAGGGTCAACTACAATTGCAGAAGGGGATAAGGGCCATGGAAAGTGTGTGGTTACATTTCTCCAACTGCAGTCAGGAATGGAGCTAATGGAAGACAGCACTACCCTCAATAAAGATAAGCAGATTTAAGAGCCTCAATGGAAGATGCAATAGGAAATGAAAGCAGAACATGACAGGCCTGAAGCTATTGGCATGCTAGAAAGCCTCCTGGCTCTCTATAAGCATCTGCTGTGTGCAGAAGCACTCCTGAGGCTACCCTATATTTTCTGACCAAACGAGCTGTGGGGCACAGCTCTAGGATCTGTGTTTGGGTTTATGTCACTTGCTTATCGAGCAGCTGAGCAACACAGCAAATCCCAGTATTTGGACAGAAACTTGTAGCCCATAGATAAAGTCCTAGTTTAGGCACCTTTCAGCTGTGACTCTGAGACCCTGGTTTCATTAAATGTAGAAAGAATGGGCTGTATTTGAAAATCTCTGAAAGTACTTTCATTTTAAAAGAAACAGTCATTGGTGGTGGTCATGGTGTGGTAACATATTTGAAGAGTTGTAAACCTATGCCCCTAAAACATCGACAGTGCTATAAATCATCATTACTGCAATAAAAGCAAATCAAAAAGTGAAAGATCAAGTAGTAAATTATCAATATATATTGAATAGAAAAGCTGACTTCATGACACAACTTCTGCCTGGCTTTCCTCTTACCTCTATTAAAGTGACTTTTCAGCATGTTTGCTCATTCTTCTTCACCTGCATGTCCATGATGTGTCCTCGGTCCTCAAGGGTTTGTTCTCTGCTCATTTCAGAGCTACAGGAGGGAAAGGCCAGAGATGAGTCAATAAGAAAGTTGGTGTAATAGCAACAGCCCAGATGAGGCTCTGATCTAAGGAAGTGGCAGTGGGAATGGAAACAGGAGATAAATCAAAGGGGAGGATCTGAGAGAAAAACACTTGCTAGACTAAATGAGGGATTACATATGGGGGTGCGAGACAGGGAGTTGCTCAAATAATGAAGAGACACAAACTTTAAATGACAAAGGGCCAAGAATATATCTGCCACAGAAAAATATTAGATGCCTGGGAAAACCCAGAAAGTTTTATCAAATTAGATGGAGAAATAGGTGTGTGTATGTGTGTGTAAAAGTACAGAAAATTCCTTAATGACCAAGAAGGGGTGATGGAAGTTTAGACATAAAAATGCTGTGGTATTCATACCAGTGGAGTGGGGAATAAAGATTTTCAAATGTTTCAATAGTGGTAGTAAAATATAAAATAAGTATTTTGGGGACAGTGTATAATAGTACACATTATGTCAGGAGAAAGAAAATACAAAAACAATGAGAAAAGTGAAAATTGAAGAATGAAAGCTAATGTCTCCTTTCTAGGATGCCTGGGAATGGATAGAGATATCAAAATAGAGCTTGAAAAAAAAATTAAGATTTTTTTGATGCCAGGCTGGTAAGTAGGACTGAGCAGAGATTGTTGTGGACTGAATTGTGTTCTCCTGAAATTCACAAGTTGAAGCCCTAACCTCCAATGTGAACATAGTTGGAGATAAGGCCTTTAAAGTTAAATGGGGTTATAAGGGTGAGGTCCTAATCTACAGAACTGGTATCCTTTATAAGGAGAGGAAGAGGCACTAGAAAACTTTCTCTTCACATTTATAGAGAGGAAAGGTCATATGCGGACACAGCGAGAAGAGGTCACCTGCAAGCAAGGAAGGTGGAGGTCTTGCCAGAAATCAACCCTGCTGGAATTTGATTTTGAACAAGCAGCCTCCAGAACTGCAAAAAATTAATTTCTGTTGTTTGAGCCACCTAATCTGTGGCATTGTAATGGCAACCTTACAAGATTAATATGGAGATGTGTCAATAGTAAAATAAGGTTAAAATGGCTGAGAAGGAACAGGTCAAAAATTATAACAATGAAAGAACAAATAAAGTATATTGAGAAAGGAACAGAATGATGAGCAAGAAAGAAAAGACTGAGTTATGAAAAACAAAGTACTGAAATAATTAGAGGGGTTAATAAGAATATAGTGTTTTTAAATGAATTCAAACTTAAACTGTTATCAGTGTAGAATAGGAGGAAAGTGTACTATTTACAAACTCTTGAAGCTACACTGTGTGATAAGGATTTGTATTATAAGCTCCAAAGAAATCACTAGAATAGTAAAACAGAGAATTAAAGTAAGCTGACAAATAAAATTGATGAGGATAATATAAAAGAAAGCAGAAAAGGGGGGGAGAAATAATTGATGAGATAAAAAACTAAAAATATGTATTATCATGGCTAAAACTCAATTATATTCATAATCACATTAAATGCAAATGTCTAATCACCCTAATCGAAAGGAAAAGATTATCATATTGTGCTTAAAAAAAGCATGAATTCAACTATATGCTGCCTACAAAAAAACCACACTTAAAATTTTTTTTAAAAGATGTAGTTATGCATACAAGACCTGAGGTATAGGCCAGAAGGGTGAGGGGTGAGAGGATTCACCAGAGACAGAATGGGGAATAGAACAAGCAGATTGACTGAAATACACTGCTGAGGGGAGCAGCCGGCGAGACAGGAGAGTTCTGCTGCGCCATGTAGGTTGCTCCCTGGCCAGGAATTGAACTCATACCACAATGGCTGGCGATAGCTTGATAGCACTGTGTCTTTAACCCCTGAACCACCAGGGAGGCCCACACACTTTTAAATTTTAACCTATTTGTGTCTTTAATTAAAGTTAATGTACTAAATACAAAGGTTGATTTTTTTTTTTTTTAAATTTATTTATTTATACAAGAACCAGGGTACAGGCCAGATGCATGGGAGGGTGAGAGGATTCACCTGAGACAGAGTGGGGAGCAGAACAGGCAGACTGACAAAATGCACTGCTGACAGGACAGGAGAGGCGAAACAGGAGAGGTCTGCCGCGCCATGTGGGACCCTCGCGGGGGGCAGGGATCAAACCAGCACTGTAGAGGCTGAGGACAGCTTCACAGTGCGAAGTTCAACCGCTTGCGCCACCAGGGGAGGCCCACAAAGGTTGATTTTTAATGATTCACACCTGAACCTTATGAAATGTTATAATGCAATGTTCAACTAGAAAGAAAAAATCCCAAACACATACCATTCTAACATTATTAAAAGAAAGTTGAGTGACTTTATATATATTAAACAAATTAGATTTCAGGACAAAGAATATTGCTGGGAAAAATGTTATTTAATAATAATTAGGTAGTCAATCCTTTAAAAGGACATAACAATCCTAATTATACGAACACTTAGTAAAGAGCTTTAAACACATGATATAAAATCTAATAGAACTTCAGGGAGAAAAATCAGCCTATAATATTAGTTGGAGGTTTCAATAGCCCACTCTCAATTATTATTATGCAGATAGATAAAATAGCAATAAGGCAACACAAGATGTAAACAACAGTACTGTCCCATGTGATCTAATTTATTTATAAAATACTCTAATGCACATTTCTTTCAAGGGCACTAAAAACTTTTACCAAGAGAAACCATATCAAGGATTACAAAATTTCAATAAATTCAAGAGGATTCAGATAATGTAAAGTATGATCCCTGACCACAAAGGTATTATATTAGAAATCAATTTAACAGAAATGTCTCTAGAAAATATCCCTAAATATTAGAAATGAAATAATTCATTTCTAAATAGTCCATAGGTCAAAGAAGTCCAAAGGAAAATTAAAATGTTTTGAGCTAAACGAAAATTAAACCACAACATAACAAAAACTGTGAAATGCCATTAAAGCAGTACTTAGTGGGAAATTTACAGTATTAATAAATGTTTATATTAATAGAGAAGTGTGAAATCAATGATCAGTTTGAACTTTAAAAAGACTTTGACAAAGAACAAATTAAATCTAAAATAATCAGCAATAATAAAGATTAGAGTGAAAATCAATGTAATAAAAGACAGATAAGCATAAAAAGAAATCAATAAAATTAAAAGCTTTTTTTCTAAGGTCCATAAAATTGATCAACCAGTAACTAGGCTGTCTGAGGGAAATTATCAATTTCACAAATTATTACAGAGAATATAAACATACAGGACTATATCAAACTAAAAAGTTTCTGCACAGTCAAGCAAACTATTGTTAAAATAAAAAGACATACTACTAAGTGGCAGAAAACATTTGCACATCATATACATCTTACAAGGGGCTGGTACTGAAGACCTACAAAGAACTCACACAACTCAACAAAAACAAAACAAATAACCCAATCAAAAAAATGGGTAGAAGAGTTAAATAAACTTCCCCAAAGACGATATACAGATGGCTAACAAGCACATGAAAAAATATTTATCATTATTTGTTATCACGGAAACTCAAATCAAAACTAAGAGGTATCACCTCACACCTGTGAAAATGGCCTGTATCAAAAAGACCAGAAACAACAAGTGCTGGCCCCAATGTGGAGAAAAAGAAATCTCATATACAGGATAACATTAAGTGAAATAAAGTAAGAAGGAAAAAGACAAATATCATATGGTTTTACCTGTATGTGTAATATAGAAAAACAAAACAATTGGTCAGACAGAACGAAACCAGTAACAAACCCTAGAATGCTGCCTGTAGAATAAAGGTTACTAGAAGGGTAGGGTAGAGAGCAGAGTATGGGGGAAGCATGGGTTATGCCTTATTGCATTGCTTGAATGATACAAATATTCAAAATATCAAAGCTTATACAGAAAGAAACAGATAACTTTAATAGGTCTTTATCTCTTAAATAAATTGAATTTGTAGTTACAAATATTCCAAAAATAAAAATTCTAGGTTTCAATAGCTTTATATTGGTTAATCTAATAAAGATTTGAAGAAAGAGTGACATCAGAAAAAATGGTGGAATAAGGACTTCTGAAAATTCTCTTTTCTAAATAAACTATGTTAAAACTGGCCAAAATGGTCAGAATCAAATTTTTCAAAATTTTGAAAATTAGACAAAAGCAATGTTTATTCAGGAAAAATGGTAGAATCTCTCAGCAAAAACAGTGAAATATGGCATTTTCCACTTGATCTAGTCCCAGTTACATTCTTTAGCTCTGTGGGGCCCATGAAAAAGAATAGCCTTATTTTATAGTGAAAACCAGTAGACTGGCCCGCACCAAAGTGAAAAGAATGTAGCTGGAGCTCTTTCAAAGCATTATTCCCAAAAAATTGTTAATATCTGACCTGTCTAGTGGGTCACTGGAGGACACCATGTGTAAGGCTGTCTGCATCTGAACAATCTTAGAACTTGCCTTTGCACCTGGGAGTCACATTGGAAACAATGACAATTAACTTCGTGGCAGACTGAGTGGTTGATAACAGCAGGCAAACAGTAGACTAATAGCTACAATATGTTGCCACCACAACAAACCAGGGGAGGGAAAATTTGATTTCCAGAGTTACATTACATTATATAAAATGTCATTTTCAACAAAAACTTACTAAACATGCAAAGAAACAAGCATGGCCTACGCACAGGAGGTGAAAAAAGCTATCAACAGAAACTGTCCCTCAGGAAGCCCAGTCACTGAACTTAGGACAGAAAGACTTGAAATCCAACAATCCAAATAATTAAAGGAAATATGTTCCTTGAAAGCCATGTCTAAAGAAGTAAGTATGAGAATAATATTTATTATTTTACCAAACAGAAAATGTCAATAAAGAAATGGAAATTAGAAAAATAAATAATAACAAATCTACACACACTCCTCCAGAAAACTGAAAGGTAGGAGTTCTTTCTAAACTGTCTTCCAGGAGGGCAGTTTACCCTGATATCAAAACCAAACTAAAAC